CAGCTGTAAGTTTTTGTTTGGCTACGTTTAATATTAGTTGTTCGTCATAAACCTAGACAAACAGCTGGGGGTATGTTAACAGATAAAACAAAAAAAAAAAAATACATTAGTGAAGTAAAGTGAAAACTGTAACAAAAAAAATTATATCCATATCCATCAGAAATAAATATTTAAAAACTATTTTAAATCTGGTGATGCTTAAACTTAATTACAGTGGATATATATCTTATAACCCTACCCTACTCCCTTCACCCTTATACAAAGAGTTGTAATTAAGAGCAATAAAATTTGACACTGGTATTAATATTATAATTCATTCGTTTTTAATTCATGTTTGTAATAAAAAAAAAAGTAATGACATAATGTCATTTTTATTGAATAGAAGGTGTTTATTTAAATGTAGGCTGGAATCGAGAGTTGTGTGCATAGTTCTTTGCCGTAATATAAAACTTAATGAACTTTGATGATATTGTTTGTTTGAGTACATAACAGGGTATTGTGAATTCTTATATGCAGATCTCTGGAACTAGGCAGGTAATTTTATTCATTGATAACACTCTACTGAAAGTAAATAAATACAGTGCTCCCCCGTTATAATGCCACCCCCGCCTACCGCCAAAAAAATTCCAAGTCCCGATTTCCTCGCTCTATAAAACCCCGTTTTACCGCCATCCCCCGCCTATCGCCATCCGCCAACGTATTTCAGGTACAAAACTTCCCATTACCGTTTTAATCACCCCCGATAATTACCACAAATAATGACACTAGTTGGTTTGTTTTTTCGACAATCGGATCGGTAGGTCCGCGTTTTAATTGAATAAAATGAAAAACATTTATATCAAAATAAATAAATAACCTTTTACAAAAACTTTTTTGTGAACATGTTCAGAACTAATTTATATTAATCAGTAAATTCCATTGGTCATCACATTGTTTGGTAAGTTTTATTGATTTAACTCTGCAACCTTATCTATATTCCAGATTTTGTCTGTAAAAATCTCATAAGTAGGAAAATTTTTTTATGGAGCAAATGACAATGGATTAAAAAAGTCTATGAAATTGACGTAAATATTGAGCTCCACAATTAGTATCAATTTCACAGGTGTCATGTGCAATGGAGCGTAGCTAATCCCTGTCGGTTGTCTATGGTGCGAAAAATTCACGAGATGATCAAGCCATGCTGTGTTTACAAACAGTAATTGGAGTTGTTACATAGGATCCAAGTTTCTAGGTGTGAAAAACTAAATACCATGTGTAGATATGGTCAATTTAAAGAAGTGTTCAATAAGGCAGATATAGTACGTTTTATTAATTTCGAATACAAGGACGCCAGACGTGGACTGGAAGTTTTGTCTAGTGATCCGATATTTGGCCTCTAGAACTTTGCATCAGAAAAAAAATATAAAACGTTTTGTTTTTATTAAATAATAAAATAAAACAATCTACAATAAATATTTCAAAAGTAAACTTGTAACAAAATAAATAAATCAATAATTTAATAACATTACTCGTGAAAGAGACAATTTCTTCTGATTCTACGTGCCTCCTTGTATCCCCCGTTATAATGCCACCCCCGATATAACGCCAAAATTGCCAAGGTACAAATGTTGGCGGTAAAACGGGGGAACACTGTACTAGTAATTTGAACAGAAATAACATTTAAGTTTGATAATAGAAATGAAAAACATATCTTTATACAGATAAAAAGAACCTTCAAATTTTCATTTCATCGTATTTTTCAATTCAAAAATCAGTAAATTGTCAATCACAACAGATGAACGGCCTATGTACTCTGTCTGGGACGTGGAGAAATCAGCTACAGTCAGTAATGACGATAACTTGCAAGGGGGGAACCATAAAAGATCAATATAACAGCGCCGTCGGAAATGCTGAACGAGAGTACGACCTTGCAGGGAGGTATCTGAAGGTCAATGAGACTAATTTTATCGTGGGATGGTCTGTTGCCTTAAAAAAATCAATACCGAAATGTCATGTCTATTGCAAGCTGGAGGTATTATCAGAAGTGGATTCTAGCGTCATACAAGGATCAGGAAGATTACTGGAGGACCTATTCAACCAATCAGGATACTTTCAGGAAGATTCAATCACATCCTTGTTTACAGAGTAACGTTAATTAGAGCACGTGACTGCAAGTGTTCGGATTTACATACACAAGCAGGAATTAATCTTGACATTAGGGTGTACATTTCTTTTATTTTGCCTAACTGTAATTGGGGTCTGAATAACACAGAAGTAAAACTCATTTTAACGAACAATTTTTATTCTATGCTTTGAGAAATGACTTGTGACTTTTTAAGGTCACCTGATCTTATAGCTCAGGTGAGCATTCTGATCACAGTTGATTTAACATCAAGGCTGTAAACTTATAGTTTACCGAGGTTGTGTAAATTCAAGTTTGTTCACACAAGTTGGAGGGGGACCACAATGACCTAATAAAGGTAAAAATGTGAAATCCTTTACACGTTGACCTCTCTACATCAGTACAGCAAACTCCAATAATTACATTCGCTGTGTTTTCTTCTAAGCAAACGATATACAGTGAAACATGTCTAATCCGACATGCTCTGGGAGACAAATTCTGTGTCGGAATAAACAGGGTGTCGGATTGCACAGTGTTAAAAATGTGGAAAATAGCAAAATGGGAAACAAATTTTACGTCGGAATTCACAGTGTGTCGGATTATTAGACAGTTTTCACTGTAAATGATTTGAAAACCATTTTTGTGTTGACTTGTGCGTAGAAATATGATCACGGACAAACACACGCTTACGTAACGTCACAACGAGGCTACAACGACTTTAGTAAAATTGCAAAGATGTAGGGGAGCGAGAAATTTAAACGTTGTATATATTTTCATGCTTTCAAACGTAAAATAGGAATGTTTTTAAATTACTATTATTGGTTTGTAAATTACACAGACCGTCACGTAGGCATATTTTTCATGAAGCGCTATTGTAATTAAACATCTTAAAGGCCGAGGTTTTCACCCGAGGGAACGACGCTGGCTTGTGTATACTATACCTATATACACAGGATGTTACCTGAGCCCCTGAGTGTATTACCTGTATGCGTTTTCCTACGACTTTGTAAACCGAGGCCGTTTTTTTTTTTTCATGTTTAGCTCATGAATTGAAATGCGAAATAAAGCATTTTTTGTTGCAGACAGAATCCTTCTCAATTTCTTTCTTTTGAAATAATTAAAATTTTTAATAATTCGACGTTTTTTGTATACAGTGTGTTTTTTAATGAAGTGTTATAACGAAAATACATTTAGCACAAAAAGGGAAATAAATAATTCAAAGAACACGTCATGTACGCAAAACGAAAAAAGAAGGAAGTGGGTCATAAAACAGTCTCTCGGTAAATAACAATGAAACTAAGAAACAATGTTTTGAGAATAAAATGTTGAAGTAGAAATACATTATTGTCTAAATGAATATCTTTTTATGATAAACCATACTTGATTTTTCCATAACGCATGGACGGTATAAATGGCCAGGGCTTCGGACCGGAGTTGATTCCTCGACAGCTATGAAACGGGAAAAGAATCGTCTGCATCGGTTTTTTTTTCTTTCGGGATTCATTATTAATTTCAAACATTAAATACAAAGCAAGATGTTATATTCCAATTAATTTCTCTTCTAAAACATTATTATACCGCAACTTTGTCACCATGTTTCGAAGAAAAGCGACACGTACAGGTTTGTCTTACAAATATAAATTCGCTTGACTCATGAACAATATTACAATGTGGCCACACTTGTTTTAAAAAATAGTTTTATTTCATTCCATGACACGGAAATTAAAATTATCGATTTTAAATGTGATATGAAATCCTCCCTTTTAAAATGAAATTTATACTATATATTATATAGCCATGATTTTCTTGTCATTTATCTAATTATTTGATAGATTGATTATATTTATGGCATATTCTTATGAGTTAAAAAAAGAAAAGAACGATTTGATTGCTTCTTTATCACGTTGGCATACAGTGCGGTAGGCATCAAAAGCCTGAAAGTTAATTCGATGGTCGGTACGATCTCCAGACAAGGTACACAAGATATACACAATAGCAGCAAACTAAATGTCAATCAAATCAAAGTATCCAATCCCAGGCTTAATTTCAGATGATTGACAGAGGTTCTAAGACCAGGTAAATTTGAAGGAGGTGCTTATTTCCTCCCCCTTTAAATTGTTACCCATTCTTATATTTTTTTCCTATCTAACCAATCTTTGATAAAATCTTCGATTAAGAAAAAAACTAAATAAAACATACAGATTTCTTTAATACTGGACTCTGTTATAATTAAATGATTGTTGATAACTATATTAACGTCATCAGTATTGCTTTACCCAGCAAAACTACTGCATGTGGCTTCTTCAACTTTTGTTTGCTTAAATTTTCGTGGATTTTGTATAAAAAAAAAACCTAAAAATACGTAATTTTGTGGACGAAAACATTGTCCATACAAATGAATATCACATTCTCAATTCAATGAACATTTAATTTCGTGAAACTGCAGTGTTTAAAACAGCTTTGAATACGTCAGAAAACTGAATAAAATAGAAAAATGCTGTATTATGTTGTTATAATCATAGTTCATAATTTCCGATCAGTCTTTTTAAGGTAGAAAAAAGTCCCTAAAGAAAGTGCATCTTGAATATAGGACTCTAGCTTTTTTATAGTGTACTTGTGACAAAACCTCGTCGTTCATTATATGAGTTTCGCCACAAGTGAGCCAAAAGTGAAAGTATATGCCTAATTAAATGTAAGTCAGGATTTCCAATTTTCTTAATATGACCATAACAAATGATTACAAGGCAATTCAAATGTATGAGGGCTGTTCGGAAATTAACATAGTAAGAAAAATAATCGGGTTATTTTTTTTTATTTCATCTGCCAGTTACATTTAAGGAGAGTTAGTATAAGTGGAAGAATTCTTTGTTGGATGTGACATACAAATCATGTGATCATACAATCTTATATAAAACAGCCCAGAGAAGAAGTTATGATGCAAAGTCGCTAGAGAATACATTGGAGTGTTACTAGTGATTTTAAGGTAAATAATTTGCAATGTTACAATTTCTAAGTTTCTTATAACATTGAATAAGATTGTTTTTACTGATCCCCCCATAATCGTTTCTTGATGTGGTTATTTTACCACTGAATATTTCTTTTACCCTACGCAAAAGTAAGTTGGTTTACCGTTACTTTTTTAAGTATTTACGAGATGTATATTGATGAAACGGAAATATTAGCTTTAATTGAATATATTAATCTATATATGTTTGATAAAATGAGATATAATTTTTTGGATTTTAAAGGTTTGATATTTGTACGAGAGTTGTTCCTGAAAAACGCGAACATTTCAAAATCCTTTATTTCGCTAGGACAATAAAGTTAAAAATAAGCATACATCATGATCAACATTTTTAAAATGATGCCTAAAAATGTCAATGAAATATAATTATGTGAAAATTAAATCTTCCTCTCAGGTAAATGAATCTAACAAATCAGCTGTCAGCAAAACACTTACGACGTCAAAACATCTCTCGTAGTGTTTGTGAATTTGATCTAGAAACTGTGCCTCCAAAAAAGGTCATTTAGGCAAAATTTCGGCATTTTATTTAATTTTGTTAAAATTAAAAAGTTATGCATCTCAAATACTAGTTGTACTAAAAGATTGCAGAGTTAATTCAATTCTTTAAATATGATTTAGACAATTTCGATCATAAATCTAACTGATCAAATTACTTAACAGCGGTCTTCACGTACGTCTGTGACGTCCCACTTAAGTTGTCTTTTCAGTTCGTCTTTATATAAGTGGTCTAAGTTCTTTTCTATCGGATAACCATTCAAGTCAATCTCAAACCCCTTTTTCTAGGAAAATCCTGCAACTTTGTGATTTTTCATCGTTAACATTTTTTTCCTTATGTAGAGGAGTCATATCCCACTTAACATAGTGTTGCTTATTAATTTAGAGCTCCACATTACCGCATAACGTCACCATTTTTGACAATGTCTAATTCAAATCTCTTCGGCACATATCGTCATATATTTGTCATTAATGATGTCAAATAAATGAATTTTGAAAGACGGGTACACCAAATCATAGAGTATTTATATGCTGGTAAAAATTTTGACATTATGCTGTGTGGCAACGCACTTTGAAAAAATTACGCACATTGAAATTTTTCTTTTCAAAGTGCGTTAAAATTGGGACAAAATCAACGAACTTTGAAATTTTTTTTTAAAAGTGCGTTAAATTTGGGACATACTCAACGCACTTTGAAAAATTTTTTCAAAGTGCGTTAAGAGTTTACATCAGTATATTTTACCATTGAGACACTTAACGCACTTTGAAAAAAAATACGTAAAACAAAAATTCTGGATTTGGAGTTTATTAATGGAAAGATTCTATTTCAGTGTTATTTATCTTTCAAAAAAAAAAAACTTTTGAATTGATTTACTCCCGTCGAGAAGAGGAGAAGAAAAGTAGAAAATCTCAGCCTAACTCTTTCTCTTTCAATACACAGGCGTCGGTAACAAATAAAACGGGTGGAGGGGAGTAATAAGCCCCAATAGCCCCCCTTCCCTTGGCCTTCGCCCGGTTTCGATGCCAACGTGTATGCTATACCCAAACAATGGATATGTTTTTACATTACCGGTATGACGTTGAAAACTATAAATAATTGAAGTAACTTAAAACAGATGAAAACTAGAAATTTTTAAGTACAGTAGAACGTATGAAAGAGAACGAATTTTCATAGTCTTGAAAAATCCATTTGTCCTTTTTTCTTTAGATAAATGTTATGCTATAAGTCGTTCACTTTTAGCGCCTCCCCCTACATCTACTTATTATAGACTAGAAATAAAAAAAAACGAAATAATGGTTTTAAACAATCATCTCTCTATTTTGTCTTAAAAAACATTTCCCTTTTATAATATTTATCAAAACCTAAAATATTTAAAACATCAATATCTCAGGTCCTGAAGTGTCCTTATCACCAAAAAGTTACCCAACCAAAGTCAATTATTTATCATACCGATTATTTGTAAGAATATTGATCAAGTTTTACATTTTTTCAAAGTGCGTTAATATGGTCGATATTTACGCACTTTGAAAAGAAATTTTATTTTTTCAAAGTGCGTTAGCTTGGTCCCAAATTTAACGCATTTTGAAATTTTTTTTTCAAAGTGCGTAATTTTTCAAAGTTTGTTGTAACAATGCTGCCTTATAGCCTGATAACATAAAAAAACTTAATTGACATTGCTTTTTGTAAAAGTCCAAAAATTGTCGTGCGCCGACCACCAATATTTAACATCCTTTAAATGCTGATTATATATACATATGACATCAAAGGCCTGTAATATTTTGTCAAAATTCCTGAGAGATGACCCCCCCCCCCCAAAAAAAAAATGCAAAGTATTCTTTGTTTCAGTTGAAAAGTATTTTTTTGAAGTTGAGATTGGGGACTCTCTCTTTCATTAAAATATTTATGAAAGTAATACATATTTCTGTAGTGGTAAAGAGTCTACGGTTTTTTAAACCAAATAACCCTTTGAATAGATCAAAACACTATCAATACTTTGAATTGGTCTGTGAATATACAGTTAAAAACATTTTTAGTACATTGATGGCTTTCTTAAATTCTTAAATAACTCTTTTCCTTCTACTTTGAACATGTTGAATATGTCAGTTTTATAGATTTTTATAGTTTTTATGTTTCTATGCTTTAAGATAAAATATGAAGACTGTTGGCTATTTTCTGTCTATGGTGATTTGTGCAGTAGTTCCTGTGCAACCCTTAATGAGAAATGCTGGTAAGTTGTCTTACATATTTCTCAATTGAGATGTGAGATGAGATTGTGTACATTTAATGTTCTTAATTTAGTCTTTTCTGCAATTAATCTTACGTGCTTATTATATTCTAGAAAATGAACAAAAATAATTGTAACATAAATTTGTATAATTGCTGGAATTTTTTTTAACCAAATGAAAGGACATATAATTTTATGGGAGCCTGAATCTTGAAATATATGGGCTCTATGAAATAATGTGTTTTCTTACAGGAACTGCACTTTGTCAGAGACCTGAAATGCAAGGATTATGTGCCTTGTCCGGCACGTGGAGAAATCAGCTGATGTCGGAAATGACGATAACCTGTAGGGAAGGAACCATAAAAGGTCAATATAACAGCGCCGTCGGAAATGCTGAACGAGAATATGACCTTGCAGGGAGGTATCTGAAGGTCAACGAGACGGAGTATATCGTGGGATGGTCAGTTGCCTTTAAAAATCAGTATCGTGATGCAAGATCCATTGTTAGTTGGACGGGGGTATTCTACGCCACTGAAGGCATAATCAAAACTCAGTGGATGAGAGCATCATTCAAAAATCCGGAAGATTATTGGTCGACCTTTACAACCAATCAGGATATGTTTAATAAGATCCAATCACATCCTTGTTTGCAAAACAACAGGAATTGAATGCATACAACTCACTCAGCAAGAACCTATAACTCTTTACATTACCAATCTCTTTGGCTTACAATTATTTTGAGTAGCTCAAAGTTTAAAATAAATATTTAATCAATTATAACCATTTAACTGATAAGGAAATGACCATTTTTGTAAGATCTATGTATACTAGGACCAATTTAATGAAATTTTAACTCAAGAGTGTTTTTATTAAAAGGATTTCTATCAAGTATGTGCGTTATTCAATTTCAAATAGCTAAATCTGTTGTATTAGCTTTTTCTATCAAATGTGTGCTTTATCAAATTTCAAAATAGCTAAATCTGTTGTATCAGCTTTTTCGTAAATAGTAGATATATAATTGTTCCAAGCACCGTCGGACTGATGATGAAGTCCTAGATGTAAATGACTTTATTTTCTTCTTCAAAATGAATGTCTCACAGGAAATAGTCACTGCATTGATAGTTTTATCAGCGTTAAAGTCTACTGTCATTGAGATTTATTTTTTCTTTTTTTCAACGATCGCTCGTAAGAGATAACATCAGCGTCTTTTATTAATTGATAGCAAACAGTAATGCATTGTCCGCGCAAATAATTGGAAACCATTATGTATGTCTTTGGTTACACATGTATCAGTCATGTACATAGTTGCAGATCTGTAGTTTGCTGGTCTGAAAAAGAATTCGAATGGATGACTAGTGAGCTACAATGCCATCCTGTATATTTATTGAGCACAAAAAGTTGCGCTCATTTTAGGACTGATTTCTCCTCGATTTCTAGCTTTTCCTTTGACCAATTATCAAGTATACATGTTTACGGTTTTCCAATAGTAGAATAACTATCGTGGTAGTAACAGATTTATTGATCTCACATAGTCAACATATAAACAGCCAGGCTCTGAAATACATATGAACATAAAATCATCATACTGTACACCAACTTTTATTCGCGACTACTTTATTTCGCGATTTACCGAAAATAAACTAATTTGCGACGATTTATTTTCGCGATCAATCCTTTTTACAACTGTTTTAATAGAAAAAGAGACTTTAAGGACACGTTCGCGGCGAGAAATATTCGCGATGACGAGGCTCTCGCAAACCTCGCGAAAATTTCTCGCACGCGAACAAAAGTTTGTTTACAGTATATGCTCATTACAACACAAAACACACATCAAAGGGAAATAACTCAATTTCAAAATTGAACACAAATAATAATCAATTGGCTTGAAATGAAATAAATATGAATTTAGATAGAATAATAAAACTGATTCAATTTAGCTTTTTCCAATTATAATTTAAAATCAATATTGTATGAAATTAAATAAAATAAATAAGCATTTCTCAATTTCTTCAGTGCAAAACAGAAAACACAATCAAACACCACAAACAAATTCAACACATAAAACATTGATCTTACCAGATATATGGTATCAGAACCAGTTCTTTATATTTATGTATGTATTTACAGCTATGGCTAAGGAACTCCCTAAAAACCATTTATTATATTATATATTGATTTCATCAACAATGTAAAATATTGAATAAATTCTATTTTTATATTTATCACACAATCAACATTCTCACAGGTTATAAAGATTAATAAATAATGTCTTACTTTTCTGTCAATGTCAGTATAGTCCAAAGACTTCTATCAACACATGCAATGTACAAAACAGGTATATAGGAATGAAAATCAAATACCCCAATATCACTTTACCCTCTAAGACTTTTACCTTTGACACTTAAATCAACCAACCAGGAATAAAACCACTGAACCATGAACAACATATTACACTACTTACGGAAACTCATGAATGACTTAAACTAATAAATAACTTAGAATATGGAAACCTGTTTATGTAATAATTGAAAATTAAGTTCATAATAATTTACTTTATTTAAACAATACCAATAAAATAAATATAAATCTATACTATCACACTCATATTTTATATCTTCACGAAGCACGACCGAATCATCTTGCCTTCCAAGATGGCAGTGTACATTTATTAGCATTTTTTTTTACACGAAATGTTTTGTTGTGGAAATAGTACATGTATAACATAATAATATTTTGCGTAATATTTTGAGATGGGGTTTGAAAAACATGGAGAAATATATTGGGTAACAGCGCACTTTTTTGTGCGAAATAAATATACACTTACTTTTTTCAATGGGAAGAATTGTAGCTCTCTGGTCTTTCGAAGTTTCGGAGAGCTACATGTACCGTTCTGCAGCTATCACGAACATGTATAGGGAAAAGAGTACCAATTAATTTTCCATAGAACTCTATACAAACTTTATGCTCTCCCAGTAATTTACTAATCCTTTCAAACAAATCTCTGATTTCATTTAAAAGTTCATTCTAAGCACTTATTAAAAACACAGAAAAAAATATAAGGTGCCGCGGCGTTTATAGGTCAAATTTGCAGTTATTTGTAAATGACACCCTGCCAAAAATATCAATCCCTACTCCTACAATCTTCCCTGGTATTTCTATATTTTCTATAATATTCCTACATTCCATCATTTATTTCAAACATGAATATTTTTACTTTAAAATGAAAATATTTACATACCTGACCTGAATTCATCCAATCGGGTAAAGCCTACCCATTTATTACTCCGCTTCATCTTGTTCAACCACGAAATGATGTAAGCTTCTGGTGATTTGGTACTCTTTTTTCCATAATAAGAATAAAAAAGGGCCTAGCAGACCCCTAGGGTACTCCCATATCGACAGTTTAAAGATTGATGAAAAACCATAATTCATTTACTCTTTTTTTTGCTTGTCAGTTAGGTTATCTTTAATCCAGCCCAAAATATTATTTTGGAAGCCTTACTTTTCAGGTTTAAAGATAGCTCCTCTGTGTCAAACTCTGTCAAAGGCCTTTGAAATTATTATCACAGAATATAAATCGCAGGCGTCGACCTTCATTAAGATTTGACAAGTTTACCATATTATATAGTTTAACCAATATGCATACTATAAGCGTGAAAATGATAGAAAACTTAGGAAAGTGGATACACATACATGTATATGTACCAGATAATCAGATGAGCACTAGTTCTTTCTTTATCAACTTTATTACAATATTTTTTCATCTCTCTTCTCCATTCTTTTAAATTTGCATATCATGATAGGTTAAATTCTATTTCTAAGAGATTAATAAATACTATTTCAGTCTTTAGAATTTTAAGAATCCTTTTGTTATCCAGATAAGATCTCACAGAGATCAATATGGGTGTCTGATCATTTTATTAACTTGAAGGCAATGCTGATAACTTATATCCCATGAAGAATGTGTACGTAGAATGTAAGAATTCAGCTTGTTTGTAAAATACTTGTAACCAAACCTCATCACCCTTAGTTAGTTTCACCACAAGTGATCCGGTAGCCAAATTAAATGGATTGCCATGAGAATATGTGCAAGTGTCAACTTCTTGTTTCCCGTTCACGTAGGCCCCGATGTAGGCATTATTCCCATTTTGTATGAGGTAATTCCAGGTGAAAAAGTAGAGTCCATTTTCTGAAGCTGAGAATTTTCCATTGACTGGATTGTAACCACTACCGATGTTTAACTTGACGTCGTCAAATTTTAAAACTGTACCGGGAGGTGAACTGTGATGATGTTGACTTAATCTGGAGTAGAATGCAACTGGCAATCCTAATCTGCTCTCTATGCCATCTGTAAAGAATAAATTCAGTGTTCTTCTTTATTTTGAAAGGCTTCTGCTATTTGGATTCACTCTCTCGTTTTTTTTAACTTTTTCAAGTATTTTTATTATAATATATAAAAGAGCAAATTTAGGGAGAATTTAAAAAAAAAGTTGTTTTATGGGAGAACAAGATCAATCAAAAAGCGTGTTACAAACATAAAAAAGAATTATAATAACACATAGTTTGAATATTTTATAGAGTATATTATTAGATGTACATTTGTTAAATACCTAAACATATAAAAATCGTATTTAATAATAAGGACTTATATATATATATATATATATATATATATATATATATATATATATATATATATATATATATATATATATATATATATATATATATATATATATCCAAAGTCTCTTTTTGTCAATACAATAAAAAACATTTAAACACTTTTCGAAATATTTCAACCGTGTTACCGGCCTTCATCAGTCGTGTTTATTTCAATGCATAGCAACTCAACAGTCAACAGAGTTGGTGAAAGGCCGCAGACAAATCAAGCAATGTCGACAATGATTAAGTCAGTCTCTGTATTCATTTAGTTTACATAATTTCCATTTTCATTTAAATGTCTAAAACTGCAATAGTTACGACTCAGCTGCTGAACTGTAGCCCTATATGTTTGGGGAGATTTAGACAGAAACTAGATACTATTAGTCCGAATTTTCTCAACCGAAGAGCTACATTTTCTGTAGCTAACTATGAAAATAAATAGCTTTAAGATAAATTTTACGTCAAAATGAAATTCATTAAAGCAAGTATGTACCAATTTGATCCAAAACCCTCCTTGTGTTGTTAGTATGAGTTTCTTCTGTTAGTTTTATTCTTTCTTCCAGATTGTTTTTCATATTTGAAAACATATTTTTGGCATTTTGCTTTTCTAGGTAATCAAACATCTTCAAACGTAACGCGTGGATTTCATCTTTATGTGCAAGTTTCATCGAATTCACTTCATGTCGAATTTCTAAATATAAATCGTTGAAATCCTTAATTCTTCTTTCTTGCAGATAGAAAAAGCCTGCAACTAACGTAACACCAATAGCAAGCAGACAATCATTCAAATTCCAAGACATCTCTTTTATTCCTCAGGAACAGCAGTGTATCTGACCCCTTATCTGATATCTTTAGCACAATGTATCATGAAAAATTCATCCAAAACCACGTATGTGTACATCCAAGAGTATAATGTACCAATACATGCTCGCAGGGATTGACAGGGATTAAATTCTACTATCGATATAAGGCTTAAACTTCATGTTTATGCTTGGTTGCGTTAATCTTTAAATGCCATATATACTGATTGCAAAATCCCTATCCGAGAGAGAGAGTAGCGAACAAGGGACGATACTTTTATGGATATAATGAAAGGAGCCATAACTGACTCGAAGTCTAGTGACATTTGAATCATCACTGTATTATCAAATCAACCAGAAAGGAATGTCTCCGCCTTTTGAATCAGTTAAAAAAGAGAGTAATGACTGAATGTCATTATCAAATTTCAAGAATTATAAAAATAAATTTGGTAACTAAAATTAAATTATCATGCTATAATTTTTAAATATATCAATTTTAGTACCCGGATATTATTTTATAGGTCAATAAAATTAAATTATTATGGACAAAACACACTCAGTAAAGGTTAACAGATAAAACAAATTTCAGAATATATTAGATTGATGCGAAGCGTGTAAAACAAGAAATCTGTGAGCCAATACTCACTAGTAATACCCCCGCTCTGATGTGAATAAACACTATCATGTTAATATACACAGGTTCAATTACGGGCAAATGCACAGATAAATAGGAAGTTGACATCAGATTCATATCAAAATTATGGCATGCCTCAACAGTGTACTAAAATTTCAAGCATCTGCAATGAGTAGTTGCTGAGAAAACTGCAACGAAAACTTGTTATGTATGAAACGGATAGACGCAAAGACAAGAAGGAAGTTGATACAGGATTTTAACAAAAATGTATCCCACCGTATGGCATGCCTCAGAGAAAATTGTGTTAAAATTTCAAGCATCGGCGATGAGTAGTTGATGAGAAAACTAAAGGGGTATAATTAACTTTAAAAAAATATACCAAGCCAGGTGAATTTTATTAGGAAGAGCTGAATGGTAAAAATCAGTTTGTGATATTGCTGATTTTTTTTCATTTTTTTTCCCTCAAAAAATTCACCTGGTTTGATGTATCTTTAAAAGTTAATATTACACTTTCAGCACTAAGCAAACATATTCTACCATTTGTTTTCACTTGTAAAGCTTTTTCGAGTGTGATTTGTCTATATTTGTTATTCTATTGAAATATATTACAAATTTTTCCAAGTCTATTTCACTTTCCAGTTCTTAGGAGAAAGTATCCACTTTTCTAAACTTGTGACATGAAATAAGTCTCCTCCAAAGAAAAAAAAGGTACGGTCTGGGCTTTATTGTGCCCTAAAATTTAATATTCTTAAAAAGTTTCGAAATTGGCTTCAAAAATAGTTGAGTAGAAGAATATGATAAATCATTAAAGAATATGGCATGAAGAAGGACCCGATTCAAGAAATATGACGTAAATAATTTGGTACATTTCTAAGTTTAATGCAAAAAAAAGCCTCGGAATGACTCATTTCTGTGCATATTTTCCTTAAGAAAATAGTGTCTGCTACTGTCGCCCGCTTCAATTTTTGGATATATTATATAAGCTGCTTTGAAAAATCAAATATCTCAAAATCTTTGTGGGCGACAGTGGCAGAGTATGTTTTCTAAAAGAAGATTCCACTTAAAACTGATGTCTTTTGCAACTTTTTAAAGAAAATACGGGAAAATGCACAAGTTTATGATTTCATAATAAGCATTTAAGAGGTCATATGAGAAAATTGATTTAAATTTTTTGTGTATTCTTACTGCATGGAATCCCTATGATTTAGAATGAATTTTAATTTATTAGTCCCAGTCATATTTAAGCATATCTTGAAACACCGAAAAGTGATTGGCAATTTATAAACGATAAAATGAAAGTAATAGACAATGAAGATACAAACTTTATATTCACCACTGTTAAACGATTGTTTAGAATTTCTATGTTTGTAATCAAGCATTTGATTATAAAAAAGAACTTCATTTAAGAAATAAATTAAAGAAAAATAGGAACACACAAAAAACGTTGATCTTAATTTTAAATAAAAGTCCATTAGCACTAGTGTTCGAGGGTGAAGTACTTGTCCACGCAATTCATTTTTAATAAAACAACAGCAACTCAAATCATTGATATTTGCTTCAAAAATACATATTTATATATTTATACAATTCAGATTAAATTTCAAAGTTTTTATGATATACTGAATTATTTATGGAAGAAGTGCCTTAAATATATATTCTTAAAGATGAAAATTACAAAAATGAATTGGAACCCTATAGAATTTTAAAGATGCATCAACTGTAAAAAGTACACAAATGCATACGAAAATTCTTTTATAAAGCAGTCAAATGGTACATATTTCCACACCAAGCCTTCAGATCATAGTACTTTTATCAAATTAATATAGTTCTAATGCAAAATGCATTCTCCAGTCTATGGATATAATATCTCTGAAATATTACAATATCAGTTGAGAATTTAACTAAAAATATATATAGTTCAAAATGTAATTTCTGAGAAATCAACATTGCACAATATGTGTATGGTACATGTACATGCATTTGACTTAAGGAATTAAATAGGATATACATAAAATTTAAATTCTTAATTTATAAGTTAAAAAATATATAAAAAGACCAAAAAATCTCTTGAAATACTTTTACAACTTAATCCTGCTAAACAGCAACAGTAGTTAGGGCCACAGCCTATGATCATCCTAACACTAGAACCCTGACCCAGGGGGCATGACATTTATGTTTGATTGATTGTAAACTCTGGTGATTTTAGAATGTAAAAACTTAACTTTATCCAGATATCTTCCAGAAATTTTTAAAAAATTTTTTGAGAAGTATCAGAGATGAAGATCTCCTGGCAAGCAGTGCATGATTAACTCACGAGTAACTCGATTTACTTTAAACTACTTTTTGCATGCAGTCCACACAATACTGAATTCAAAGTTAACATGGTTAACACACATAACTAATTAATCTTTGTTATAGGTGCTTGGTACCACCACATGTAATACTGTTTGGTGTAATTTTTTTTCTGGCCACCAGTTGACTAGATTACACTTTAAAACAGCTTTCAAATTATGTGATGCTTGAAAACATATACAAAATAGGACATGATAGAATATGGACACTTTTACCATTCTATAAGCAGTAATATCTTAATTATTGAAAAACAATGTTAAATAATTCATCTTGTACTCAACCATAATTTAAAAACAAGAAGTCTTTGAGAAACACTGATGCCCCCGTATGGCTACACAGCAGAAACTAGAAAACTGCGTGACCAGTCAGCAAGGGCCCCGCCAAGGGTAGAATTATAGGGGTGCGGCTTTCAGAATGATTAAAAAAATATATAAAGAATAAGCAACAGCAACTGTATTCCTACATTTTCAAGATAATTCCTGAATAACCAAAATCCTGTAAGTAATATTCTTGTATTTAAATATGGCAGTAAAAAACAACTCAACACTGAATGTATACAGTGGAGCCTCATTTATCCGGACGCTTTGGTTCCCAGTAAATTTGTCTGGATATATGAAGCGTTCGGATACCTGAATCACCAGTTACACAAAACAATATAACATTTAAAAATTCCGTCCCGCTGAAAAATCGTACGGATACTGAAGCATCCAGATATCTGAAGGTCCACTGTATATAAACAGTAATGAAGCTTGTGTTATATACAAGAGGCCCAAGGGCCTTGAATCGCTCTTCTGATAAATTGTACATTACAATTAGAATCATAAGACCCAAAATGCATCAACTTACAAAGTTTGATAATATTTAGCCAGTTAAGACTGAAGATATTATAATATATTATAATATAATAGTAAAATACCATAAGTCACAGTGACCTACCTTTTGATTGAAATTTTCTGAGGACTCAAGATACATTAATCGACAAAGACTGATGATTCTAATTAAATAAGTACCTGAGATATTCAAAAGTAGGTCGTCATGATGCATCATCTGACAAAATTTGACGATTCTAAGCCAATTAGTACCAGAGATAATTAAATATAGCCATCAAATGTCAAAAGAAGGTCACGGTGACCTACTTTTTGGTCGACGTTATTCAAAAACCCATAATGCCTAAATTGACAAAATTTGATGATTCTAAGCCAATAAGTACCTGAGATATTCAAAATTAGGTCACCGTGACCTACTTCTTGTTGGACATTCAATGAAGCCCTAAGATGCCTCAACTGACAAAGTTTGATAATTCCGAGCCAATAAGTACTAGATATAATTAAATATAGCCATAAAATGTCAAAAGTAGGTCACAGTGACCTACTTTTTGGTCGACGTTCTCTGAAAACCCAAGGTGCCTAAACTGACAAAGTTTAATGATTCTAAGCTTATACGTACCTGAGATATTCAAAAGTAGGTCACAGTGACCTATTTTTTGGTCGACATTCTCCGAAAACCCAAGATGCCTCAACTGACAAAGTTTGATTATTCTTATCCAATAAGTGCCTGAGATACTTAAATATAGCCATAAAATGTCAAAAGTAGGTCAGTGTGACCTACTTTTTGGTCGACGTTCTCCGAAAGTCCAAGATGCATCAACTGACAAAGTTTGATGATTTTAGGTCAATAAGTACCAGAGATACTTAATTATAGTCACAAAATGTCAAAAGTAGGTCACCATGACCTACTTTTTGGTCGTCACTCTCCGAAAACCCAAGATGCATCAACTCACAAAGTTTGATGATTCTAAGCCAATAAGTACCGGCAATACTTAAATAAAGCCATAAAATGTCAAAAGTAGGTCACTGTGACCTACTTTTAGGTCGTCACTCTCCGAAAACCAAATATGCATGGACTCACAAAGTTTGATGATTCTAAGCCAATAAGATACTTAAATATAGCCATAAAATGTCGAAAGTAGGTCATCGTGACCTACATTTTGGTCGACCCAAGATGCATCTACTGACCAAGTTTGATGATCGTAGGTCTGAAAGTAATCAAAATATGCGTTTTAAACAATTTGAAAACAAATGTCGGCAAAATTTAAAAAGTAGGTCACAGTGACCTACTTTTTATATAGATATGTTTTAAGGTCCCAAGATGCATCAAAGTACAAGATTTGATGATTCTAAACCTCCCAGTGTGTGAAATAATGGGATTCAATGTTTTTAAAAGGATAAGTCATAAAGTTCAAAAAGTAGGTCACGGTGACCTACTTTTAAGTTGACATTGTTCGAGGACCCAAGATGCATCAACTGACAAAGTTTGGTGATCATAGGCCTAAAAGTGTCCAAAATATGCCTTCAAATCAATTTGAAAAACAAATCCCCGCAAAATTTAAAAAGTAGGTCACCGTGACCTACTTTTGAGTTAACATGATGTGAAGTTGTAAGATGCATCAACTTACAAGAATTTATTATCCTAGTCCTTACAGTAAGCAAAAAATACACGTTTTTATTAATTGTAAATTTAGGTCAACTTTGAAGTGACCTTGAGACCACGCCCTTTACCCCAGGGTAATTCCCCGTGCAAATTTTAATCTTCGACATATCCTGATCCTTGTATGCAAGTTTGGTGAAAATCTGCCTGGTGGTTATGGAGAAGATTTTTTAGCAACCAGTACTTTTGGTTTTGTTTTCCTGATTATCTCCCCTTGTTTAAGGGTCCCAACCCTTATTTTAGTATAAATGGTAGCCCTTGGGCCAAGGATACCCTGTGACAAATTTGGTACTGATTGGCCAAGGGGTTCTTGAGTTATGGCCCACATTCTAAAAAGTTTACGCACACCGCACAAATGGCCATAGGCATTAGCTCTTTGAGCCTTTGGCTCAGAAGAGCTAAAAATGCAAGCCTTCAATGAATGCAAATATCAGGAAAGATTGACCTTAACTTCAAAACAAACAGCAGTTGCAGACAAAGTTATTCAGACAATCATCTTAAAGTGACAAAGATAAGCCTACTAAATTTTCTGCAGCAGGCTAGATAATTAATACCTAGGGATTAATTGTACTTCTCTCTCATCCTTTTCCTCTAAATTTACAATGAGAGCTTTTTCAGTAATGACAGAATGAGGTTATTATCCAACTACCTGTTAAAATAAATAATAATTCTGAATTTACATAAAGCAGAAAAAAAAAATTAGTAAAAATTAAAAAAAATATATCTTCTTAATAAAGGTACTTGGACACAGATTTGAAGTTATTATTTTCTCTATAATATTACAACTTATATATTTTAATAGCATTTCACACAAAAATTGATTAAAATCTTATTTCATATAAAAGACATTAAAACTTGAAATTTTTTGGCGGGTTTGATTGACACATCCTTGCACTTTCACAAATTAATTTTATTCTTAATCCTTAGGAAAAGTGGCAATCTTGTTGTGTATAAATGAAAAATATTAATACTATAATCCAAAAAATTTTGAGTAGACTTGTTCGAAAGCAAAACAAACACACAATATATTGTCAGTCCGTGCAGTTGTGGTAAGCAGACTGTGACGATTGAACGCACCCGGTGAATTCTAAATATAAACAATAACAGAACTCGAGCCCTGTTTACAAAAACTGTGTACATAACACGAGTGTGCTCGATTTGCTAAACTCTGTAAGCAACCCTTAGTTAGGAATGACGATACTTGTGAGGGAGTTTTGCTTTCTAACATTTGTACTCGGAATAAAACTATTTTTCTGGATAGAAGTTTTAATATTTCTCATTAATACACCACAAGATTGCCACTTTTCCTAAGGATTAAGAACAAGGTTAAAATTTGTGAAAGTGCAAGGATGTGTCAATCAAACCCGCCAAAAAATTTCAAGTTTTAATAACTTTCGAATGAAATAAGATTTTTAATTAATTTTTGTGTGAAATGCTATTAAAATATATATGTCGTAATATTATAGAAAAAATATTGACTTCAAATCTGTGTCCAACTACCTTTAATCTATTTCTTGTTTTTAGAATTCAATGAAATTATAACTTAATATGTACTAGGGTATTTTAACATAAAATAAAGTATAAACATATATTTACATATTTTTAAATCCACATTTCAGTGTGTTCATAGCATTCAAAATAGACTTGACTTCAAAACAAACTTCATTTGCAGACAGATGTTGTAATTTATCTCAATGTGACATCTATAAAGATAATGCTTTGGATTTTTTTCAAGAGAAAGGCTAATTAATCCCAAGGGACTCATTGCAGCTTTCATGGTTTACAATGGGAACATTTTCAGCAGTTATCTCTCTTTGCCAATTCATTCTTATATTAAGTTAAAGAATCTACCCCACCACCCCAGCTCCAAACCAGAGGACATAGAGAAACAAACTTAGCATCAAAATATGTCTTACTGCCTATTAAACCAACATACCAAATTTGAACTTAATTGGTCAACCATAATAAAATTTATTAGGAAAAAACAGAAAATTTGTGGAGAGAAGAATGACAAACAGACAGACAGACAGAAAGACTGATTTCTATAGGGCACCCACAAATTCTTGCGGGGCCCTAATTAAACATTTCTTAAATGTAAATTTAATATTTTGGTACCAAAAGTAGGGTATTCTCACTGGAAATAAAATTGTCAAATGTGAAAGTAGGCCAAGGTTTAAGTTTTTTCATAAGTTCAGAAATCTCCATGGTCAAAAGATCAAGGTAATTGGTATCCAATAAAAGTTCTTGCCATAAAAAATACATATGTGAGGTATGGAAGCCCTAGCCCTTCAAAAAATGTCATGGACAAGGTTAAAAATTTTAAAAAGTAGGACAAACTCCACCGTCAGTGTCAAACGGTCAAAGGTCTTGCTGTCAATGAAAGGTCTTGTCAAAAGGATTAAATATGTCAAGTATAAAAAGCATTAGCAAAACTCTATAAAAGTTATGATCAAGGTTTGCTTTTTAAAAGTAGGTCAAATTCCAAGGTCAAGGTCAAATTTCTTGGTTTCCAATGAAAGGTCTACTCACAAGGATTACATATGTTAAGTATGAAAGCCCTTTCCTTTACCATTCAAAAGTTATTGCAAAGGTTAAAGTTTTTTCAGAAGTATGGAAATCTCCAAGGTCAAAGTTGTTGGTATTCAATGAAAGATCTTTCCACAAAGAATACATATGTGAAGTATAAATGTCCTGGTATCTACTGTTCGAAAGATATTGCCAAAGTAACAGTTTGGAATTTTAGTGTTATAAGTGGTTCAATCTCCAAGGTCAAGATCAAAAAGTCAAATTTGGTGGTACCCAAAGAAAAATCTTGTCACAAGGAATACACATGTGAAATATGAAAGTCATAGCTCCACCAAATCAAAAGTTATGGGCAATGTTAAAGTTTTTGCGGACAGATAGATACTGTGAACCAACTATTATTCGCATCTTCTTTTATTCACGATTTGTCAGTTTCAAATTATTCCACGACGATGAATATCCACGACTGAAAGAACATTCTTTACAAATTCAAAGCAAAATAATCGGTTTGTGGCAATTCATATTTGTGAGTGAAAGGAGGTGGCAAACCTCGTGGCTATTTCTTGCACGCAAATAAGAGTTGGTTTACAGTAACTAGACAGACAGACGGACAAACAAGACAAAAACTATATATCCCAGAAACGTAGTACATGTATACGGGGGCATGAAAACATCTTAACATTAAAAATCTTTAAAACAAGAGGCCTATAGGCCACAATCCTCATCTCTGTACCTATAGCCCTTTTTGTTCATTAGCAGATTCTTTGTCTTTTATATTTCCAAGTAACATTTGATCAAACATTGTAGTCAATCTTAAATTTTCACCATCTGAAGACTATTTATGAATACTAAAAATCATGACTTTGCTGTTCCTGGAAAATTCTTTTAAAAGTTTCCCATGTATGTATTTCTTTTAAAAACCTTGATTGCCCTAACTACACCAATGGGGGAGGATGTCATGAACAAATTTACATTTCCCCATAAGGTGATATTTATATTGATATATGTTAAACCTTGGCTGGGCAAGTAGTATTTGCCCTGCCACTCTGTCTGTTTGTATGTCTGCAAAAAATTTAACCTTGTTCATAACTTTAGAGTGGGTTGGGCTATGGCTTTCATATTTCACAGATGTATACCTTGTGACAAGACCTTTTTGGATACAACCAAATTTGTGGTTTGACCCACTTTTACCAAAAATATCAGAACTTTAACTATAGCCATATCTTTAGAATGGTAGGTGCTAGGGCTTTCATTCTTCACATGTGTATTCAATGTGACAAAACCTTTCATTGGGTATTGAAAAATGGACATTTTGACCTTGATCTCCTAGTTTCACCAACTTTATCCTGGACAATAACCTTTGAACTGATAATACAAGGGCTTTCATTTATTACAGGTGTATTCTTTTTGAACAGACCTTCCATTGGGTACGAACCATTTTGAGCTTGAAGCCTGGTTTGGAGTTTAATTTGCACTTGAGAAATTTTAAACCTCTCCATAAGCTGCCAGTGTTTCACAAATACATAGTATACAATACATTTAAAATATACTTTAAACCCTAAAGTAGATTAAAAAACACAAGGTTTTCTCAAACTTTAAACAACATTCTAGATTTACATTTTTATCAATTTAAAAAAATATACACTTCAAAAATCTTTCAAAGGGCAAGGTATAGTATTGGCTCAATCTGGCCTATATTATTTGATGTAAAAATCATAACACAATTGTGGCAGGGGTGACAACAGGGTGTTTTTTTTATAACTGTTACATCATATTAAAAGAAACCCCAACCAAGGGCCAAAAAGGGGGCTAAGCCTATCTTGTCCTTTTTAAAAAAAATAATCAATACCAGCTTAGTATAAAAAATTAACATCTTAGAAATTTTGACACTCTGAGAAAGTAGAAAATTATGAATAGAGTATGACTTAATGCCTTTAATATTTCAAGGCCACATATCCTTCAAAAAGAGTTTCTTTTCCTCAGAATATCAGATTTGACCTTCTGGAAATTGTTCCAATCTATTTTTGCATCTGCCTCTCTTTCAGCATTCTGAAAAGCCTTTTCCAGTTCTTCCATAGTTGCTCTTTGCTTTGCTTTCCTCTTCCAAGCAAGAAAAATTTTGTGGATCAGAGTATGAATAGATCTTGAAGTGTTTTCCATTTCTAATGTGTCAATTTGTATCTGTGTCAAACCAAGATACTTAGCGACTAACTCCAATTCTTTGGGTCCAACCACTTTTGTTAATTTCACCAGATCCATCTCAGACAGGACATTTTCAGTAAGATTCCCTGCATCATTCTTGGAGTAGTAGCCTGGGTAATACCCTGTCATGGTAATATCAGTGAGTTGTAATTAAAAAAAAATTAATTCAAATGATACCTTAAAACATTGCTGTGATGTTAATCTTTCTTTATTACTGTTAATTTTGTAACCTGTTCACTCATCCAGAAAATGTAGGTCAGATCCAGATCCAAAGGAAGTCTAATACAGTGAAAACTGTCTGACACCTGTGTAATTCATCACACTGTAAATTTGAACCTAAAAATTCTTTCCCATTTTACTTACTTCTATGTTACTTTTAACTCTGCAATATGGCACACTTTCTATTCCGAAACAAAATTGGTCTCCCAGTGCATGTCAGATTAGACAGGTTTCACTGAGGTATGTATCCGTTGAGGTATCATCCATACAAGTTTGGATATAAGGTTCATAGTTACTTGGAAATGAGACCTGCACCAACAACTTTAGCCTGTTCACTCATCTGGAAAATGTAGGTCAGATCAAGCATCTGAAGCAAGTCTGGTAGTATGCATTCAAAGATGCATCATCCTTGCAAAGAACAAGGTTCACTTATGACCTTTTTGACCCTGTGAATGTCTGAAAAACTGAAACTGTTTAGTACCATTCATTTGTCATTAATGAATGAAAGAAAAAGTGAGCTAGCTCACATACCCCACGCTCCCCCAAAACTTGACGGTGAAACACATAATGAAAGGCACAGCTAGTGCACTTTAAATACATAGTATAGATGAAAAAGGGCAATAATTGCAAAAAAAATCTTCACATCAAAATGTCTTGCATATGAGGACATTTAAATGTGGAATGAAGTTTCTAGATGAATAATGGAATCAAAATTTCTTGGCATTATACAAATCCAAACATTAATTTGAAGTGGTTGGGGGGGGGGGGGTGAGAAATTTTCTTGAATAATAGGCAAAACTCTTTTGGATAAAATAATGGAATATGTCCTAAATATCTGCATAGGTTGACGAAACTATGTACAACAGTTTAAGAGGAGTGGTGCTGACAAACTGTTCATCTGTATATTCAAAATATGGCCAAAAAGTCTAAGTTGGAAAGTGTGGAAATTCCCGGAAAAATAAAGGAATCGGAATTTCCTGGTAATATGCACATCTACATATTGTGTCCAAAATATCTGCAAAGTTTAACGAAATTCTTTGCAGTGGTTTATGAGGAGTTGCGCTGACAAACTGTTCATCTCTATATTCAAGGTATGGCCAAATGCCTAAGTTTTTAGTGCGGGAAGTCCCGTAAAAAATAAAGGAATCGGAATTTCCTGGTAATATGCACATCTACATAATGTGTCCTAAATATCTGCAAAGTTTAACGAAATTCTGTGCAGCGGTTTATGAGGAGTTGCGCTGACAAACTTTTCATCTCTATATTCAAGTTATGGACACAAATCTAAGTTGAAAAGTGCCGAAATTCCCGGAAAAATAAAGGAATCGGAATTTCCTGGTAATATGCACATCTACATACTGTGTCCTAAATATCTGCAAAGTTAAACGCAATTCTGTGCAGTGATTTATGAGGAGTTGCGCTGACAAACTGTTCATCTCTACATAAAAGGTATGACCAAAAACCTAAGTATTTAGCCCGAAAATTCCCCAAAAAAATAATGGAATCGGAATTTCCTGGGAATATTCACATCTACATATTGTGTCCTAAATACCTGCAAAGTTTGACGAAATTCTGTGCAGCGGTTTATGAAGAGTTGCGCTGACAAACTGTTCATCTCTATGTAAAAGGTATGGCCAAATGCCTAAGTTAAAAAGTGCGGAAAGTCCCGGAAAAAATAATGGAATCGGAATTTCCTGGTAATATGCACATCTACATATTGTGTCCTAAGTACCTGCAAAGTTTAACGAAATTCTGTGCAGCGGTTTATGAGGAGTTGCGCTGACAAACTGTTCATCTCTATATTCAAGGTATGGCCAAATGCCTAAGTTAAAAAGTGCTGAAATTCCCGGAAAAAATAACGGAATTGGAATTTCCTGGGAATATGCATATCTACACATTGTGTCATAAATACCTGCAAAGTTTGACGAAATTCTGTGCAGCAGTTTATGAGGCGTTGCGCTGACAAACTGTTCATCTCTATATTCCAGGTATGGCCAAGTGCCTAAGTTAAAAAGTGTGGAAATTCCCGGAAAAAATAATGGAATCGGAATTTCCTGGTAATATGCACATCTACATATTGTGTCCTAAGTACCTGCAAAGTTTAACGAAATTCTGTGCAGCGGTTTATGAGGAGTTGCGCTGACAAACTGTTCATCTCTATATTCAAGGTATGGCCAAATGCCTAAGTTAAAAAGTGCGGAAATTCCCGGAAAAAATAACGGAATTGGAATTTCCTGGGAATATGCACATCTACACATTGTGTCCTAAATACCTGCAAAGTTTGACGAAATTCTGTGCAGCAGTTTATGAGGCGTTGCGCTGACAAACTGTTCATCTCTATATTCCAGGTATGGCCAAATGCCTAAGTTAAAAAGTGTGGAAATTCCCGGAAAAAATAATGGAATCGGAATTTCCTGGTAATATGCACATCTACACATTGTGTCCTAAATACCTACAAAGTTTGACGAAATTCTGTGCAGCGGTTTATGAGGAGTTGCGCTAAGAAAAAAAGAGGACTGACTGACTGACGCACTGACTGACTGACTGACTGACTGACTGACGGACGGGTCAAAAACATTATACCTCCCGCAACTAGTTGCGTGGGGTATAAAAATATGGAGACAATGAACTGCATTCAAGATCAAAAGTCTATTAAACAATACAAAATAGGAGCAGAGCTAACACAGACCTCCAAAACATTGGAGGTGGAATCAGGTGCCATTAATTCATAATTATCTCGCATTAGATAAGGGAGTGGCCCTTCATTTGAAAAAAACTTGAATCCCCTTTGCCTAAGGATACTTTGTGGCAAGTTTGTTTGAAATTGGCGCAGTGGTTCTTGAGATAAAAAAGCGAAAAGTTTATGACAACATTGACACAGACAACAACAACAACGTCACCGACAGACAACGGACAAATTTTGATCAGGAGAGCTTACTTGAGCCTTCGGCTCAGGTGAGCTAAAAACCAAACAAATATTAATTTTCATGTTTGGTATTTTCTTCTGTAATGCTTTTGTCCCGTGGGGATCCGGGTTAGAATAGGTCCTCAGTACCCCCTTGCTTGTCGTAAAAGGCGACTAAATGGGGCGGTCTTTGGATGAGACCGTATAAACCAAGGCCCCATGTCACAGCAGGTGTGGCACGATAAAGATCCCTCCCTGCTCAAAGGCCGTAAGTGCCGAGCATAGGCCTAAATTTGCAGCCCTTCACCGGCAATGGTGACGTCTCCATATCAGTGAAATATTCTGGAGAGGGACGTTAAACAGTATTCAATCAATCAATCTGTAATGCTTTTTCCAGGGCAAAAAATTCAGTTGGAAAATAAAACTTACCAAGTTTCCAGTAACAAAGAATGTCAACTGGATCTATCTCATGATAGTTTTGCAGTCCATGATTTGGACATGAAAATTTTTCTTTCCCACATATGGCTTCTTCAGGCAGGAAAGATGTGACACATTCTTCAAGAACGTTCTTCGTGGAACATTGGAATCCAACTGTGTAAATTGTTTTCTTATGGAAGTTTTTAGTCAGTTTCTTCAAAACATCTTCAACCTTCTTTCTAATGTTAAGTGTAATTGGAGAAACAAGACAGTTTTCCCCCATTCTAAAAATCTGCACTTGAATGGATGATATTTGGAGTGCAAGAATAATGATATGTTCCTTATGTTTGAAGCATGCTACATTCTTAAACAAACACTTCTGTCCATTGTCTTCAATCACTGTCCATTTGCTGTCTTCAGCTTCCTCCACAATCAATGCAACAACAAGACGAAAATAAAAAAAATTTGGAAGGAACTTAAAATTGAACACCAACACTGATGTTTTCTCCTCCAAGGACCAAACGCGAGATTTCAGTTCATGTGTGAATTCTAATTTATTCATACATGCAATGTAATGCATTTTTTTTCCAATCGCAACCAAACCCAGGCGTTGCATGTATTTCAATGCTGAAAAGCATTTTTTAATGTCCATTTTCTGGTTTTTCCAGATTCTTTTTAAAAGACCATCGGAAAGATAGCCACTATTATAGAAATACTGCCAGTCTTTGTCATTTTGAACTAAGTCTCTAACATGCATGGGATCTGTAATGATAGACTTAAAACAGTCTACAAACCATTGCACATCTGTTACTACAACTTCTCTCAAATTGTTTTCATTAAAATACAGAATGATGCCAAAATCATTGTATAATCGCAACACATCACACGTATCCCTGTCTTTTCCCGTCTTTTTGATTGCAACCTGTTTTCTGAAATCTTTTAATGAAATAAGTTTCTGTCCTTTCTGCTTATTACTCCTCAAGACAACTTCACAGTATGCCCAATCTTTGGGAATTGTTTCTCTCCATCTCTCTTGCCTGGCAATATTGGCAAGGCAGTTTTCAACTTCCAAGAGTGTTCCTAGTCTTTCATTTTCATTCATAGGGAATCCAATACTGAAGCATCTTGAACGATCCAGGTGCTTCTTCAAGCCAGTTTCATATTGCAGGAGCTCTAGTAATTCATCATACACTGAACACACCTTTAAAAAATGTATAGGAAAAAAATTACAATTTTTTTTTCTCATATCATGGATTTCAAGCAAGTTAAAAAATCTTATCAATATTATCAAATATAAACAATACAATACTGGGTGCATAAAGTTAATGTGAGTTTTCAGTTGAAATTGCAGTTTCAGTACCAGTATTTCACAGTTTGACTTTACTATGGGGACAATTTTAAAAACAACAAGAGGCCCATGGGCCACATTGCTCACCTGAATAGCTTTGACCATGCAGTTCTTTACCAAATTTCCCCCTTGTAATACCTTTTGTGACCCCACTCTACCCAAAGGGTTCATAATTTGGACAATTTAATATCTACACTACCCAGGATGCTTTCGCGTATGTTTCACTTTTTCTGGACCAGTAGTTCCCAAAAAGAAAACTTTTAAAGATTTAAAGATACAAGGGTTGTCCGATAAAATGGTGGACAAAGTGTTTTTCTCAAAATAATTGGCGCATAAGCTAAAATTTTCAGTAAATGTTTATCTATCATATTTAAGTGCATAATATTTTTTTTTTATAAAATATAGACAAAAAGAAAGTTTTTGTTAAGCTTGAATGTGTGCAAGGTACGGTCCTACGGTGCATGGTCAAAAAGCCAAGATTTTAGTATAGAATTCATGATTATTGATTCAAAATAAAAATTTGAAATAGATATAAAATTGGGGAAAAAATTATGCTAAATCAATTCCATAATCCATTTTGTCGTCTTTTAAAAAATTCAAAGCATTTGGTTAATTTTTGACAGTTTCTCGAGCATTCGAATTGGGAAATTGTTAAACACAACACATGAAAAATGGAGATGTTTGATGACGTTACCGCGCACCGGAGAGCAGTTCAGTTTGATTAAGATGTAATAATGACACATTTAGAGACTTTAAACGAGTATAAAAGAAGAAAAGAATTTAAAAATCACCAGATCTTTGGTATACAAATGAAATAGTTTTTTTCTTAGTGAAGTCTTTTTTGACCGAGTCCCCGGATAGTACAAAACATACAACAAAATGCTATGGTAATGGCAAAAAACGCAGTCACTGTTGACCGTCAATAAAGATTGTCTATTTAATTGAATGATGGTGAAAATGTTGTCCCTAACTTACTAATAAATGTTCAGGAGATCGCATGTGTGTGCCATATTGATTCCTCAATTGTTTATGGAGACTTGAGTATGTGTATCTCAATGAAGTTCCTTAATTATAGAGGGAATTATCCAACTTTCTTTTTAGCACAGATAAAATCTGACGCTGTTTTAGACACTTTGACGTTATCATCCATGCACCGTAAGACGATACAATACATAACATAAAATCTAGCGATGGGTATCGCTTAAAATTTCGTATCACGATATATCATGATTTTTCACAAAATATCACGATAATATCATGATATTTTTACAAGCAATTTTTGCAAATAAATGGTCAATGACATTATTTTTCTTTAAAATATGCTAAAAAAAACATAACTTCACTTTTTTGAAATTCTTATGTAAATAAAACTAATCATGTTTGGATATTAATAGGCTATTCTTTTCACCTTTTACAACATTTTGCAGACTTTCTGTTACTGTAATTTGAAAGATTGATCAAATAAATGAATAATTTCTGGACTTTATTAATATGCACCTAAATACCGGTATTTAGGTTTCCGTATCACGATACGTATCACGCAACAAAAAATCGTGATATACCGGTATACCGATAAAATCGCACATCCCTAATAAATTCTCATAATTAGTTTATTTATACATATATCTTTTTGAAATTTGCTATGTGTATTCATAAAATATGTACTAAGGAGTAGTGAAAATTTCAGAACGTAGTGATATTTATTTTTATCACTAGACAACTTGTCCATGATTTTACAGGACAACCCTCTTATTACAATGTAAAACTTGGGTTCCCTATTGTGGCTCAGCCCTACCCCTAGGTATCATGATTTGAACAATTTAGAATCTACCCTACCCCATGATGCTTTCACATAAAGTTAAGCTTTTCTGGCCCAGTAGTGAGAAGATTTTTCCTATATAGTTCGATGTAAAACTTGTTGCCCAGCCCTACCCAGGGGTTCATGATTCGAACATTTAGAATCTACTCTACCAGATGATGCTAGCACATAAATTTAAGCTTTTCTGGCCCACTGGTTCTTGAAAAGAAGACTTTTAAAGATTATTCCTATATATTTAAATAATAAACTTGAGTTCCCTATTGTTGTCCTACCCCTGGGAGTCCTGATTTAAACAATTTAGAATCTACACTACCCAAGGATGCTTTCACATAAATTTTAGCTTTACTGACCAAGTGGTTCTTGAGAAGAAGATTTTTAAATATTTTTCCTATATAATTCTATGTAAAACATGGGTTCCCAATTCTGGCCCCGCCCTACCCCCGGGGGTCATGATTTTCTGGCCCACTGGTTCTTGAGAAGATTTTAAATATTTTTCCTATATAATTCTATGTAAAACATGGGTTCCCTATTGTGGCCCCGCCCTACCCCCGGGGGTCCTGATTTGAATAATTTAGAATCTACCCTACCCAAGGATGCTTCTACATAAGTTTCAGCTTTTCTCACCCTCTGGTTCTTGAGAAGAAGATTTTCAAGATTTTTCCTATATAATCCTATGTTAAACATGGGTTTCCCTATTGTGGCCCTGCGCTATCCCCTGGGGTCATGATTTGAACAATTTAAAACCTCCACTTCCCCAGGATTTTTTTTGGAATGTATAAATGAATAGTAAAGACACATTTTTTAAAAATTTCACTTAAATAAAAGGTCACATTGACCTTGAAATAGGTCATGCGACACACCTTCTACCTAAGATGCATAAACTGGCCGAGTTTGATGACTCTAAGTCTAATATTTTCTAGTTGTGGGCTGGAAAGGAGTTTTCCATATTTGGCTATAACTTCTTAATTATAGGTCAGGTTAACTGCAGAACTGTAGCTCTCCGAAAAAATATTTTGACAGACCGATGAGCTACAGTGCCACCCATGGAAAAAACTACAACTGACTGTTTATCGATTTATTTCTCAATGTTTTTAAAACTATCATCTTAGTGTTACTAACCATGTGCTCCTAACATATTTTTTCATTGTTTCAACAACAAAACATTCCTTGTTGTTAATTGCCCTCCTGGCCCTGAAATCGAGTACATCGAAAAAATTTTCTATTCAAACTGCCATTTTGGTTTGCAAGATAATTCGGCCCTATGCGCTTCGTGTAGATGTCAACTACAAAGTACTTGATAGAGGAGTGAGGAATTTACTGAAATCAAAATTTTTTGCAATTGAGGTAAGAATTTGGAAGAATTAGTTCAGAACTAATCAAAACTTTTTGTGCACAATAAATGTACAGTTTTTTCAATGGGTGGCACTATAGCTTTCCAGTCTGTCAAAATATTTTTTGTCGGAGAGCTACAGTTCTGCAGCTATGGTCAGGGTGACCTACGTTTTGTGCATGACACATCTTCTACCCAAGATGTATCAGCTGACAAAGTTTCATAATTCTAGGCCTAATAGTATTAAAGTTATGAGCTGTACATGAGAAAAGCTAACAGACGGATGGATAGACGGACAGACAGACGGACACAAAGACTATAACAAAATACATGCAGTCTTAAGACAGGCATACAGTCCCTGAAACGTTCTACTTTCCCACCTGAACGGTGAACGAATGCTGAACGGTGAACGAACTCGGAGCGAACGGTGAGTGAACGATGTGCGAACGCTGAACGCAAGTTGGTGAACAATGTGTGAACGGTGAACGCAGAACGCGAACAGAGTGCAAAGGCGAGGGCAAAGTGAACGGTGAACGCAAAATGAACGATTTATTCGGAATGCCTCTGATCTTTTCCTTGCATTGAAATTATTTTATAATTCTAATTTCAGGCGCTTTAATATAAATATACAGTAGATAAATAAATTAAAAAAATAAATAAATGATAAAAAACATTTTTTTTCTGTACATATATGCACCTATGATTTAGATCGATAGTTTTATAACACGATTTTAATTGCAGTAAAACATGTGTATTTGTTACCGAACACGTGTAGTTTAAATATAAAATTAATCCATTTATATATATATAGTAAATATGCTTATCTTTTCACTTATAAAATAATGTGGACTCTAGAAGATAAAACTACTACTTATAGAATGAATTAATTACATTGTAGGCGGTTGAATCAACCATACATTTATTTCCGTGCCAAGACTCTGAGTAAAATAACGGATTTTTTTTAAAATTCACAATTGTCTGTTGACGTTTTGCATAAAACCCCTGTTTTTTAAAATTCTAATGCAAAATATTCTTAGTTATGTGTTTTTTGTATTCTTTTATAATGATTATTTTAGCTAATTTCCACGTGTATGTAGACATTTCCCGGCCGTGATTATACTCGGCAAGATGATGGAAATTAAGAGGCATTCAAATTATTTGTAATAGATTAAAATTTCAAAACTAAAGAAGTAATGAGCTGTCATAGTTTTTATTGAACAGAGAAATGTACAAGAGAGAGAGAGAGAGAGAGAGAGAGAGAGAGAGAGAGATACCCCCTCAATTCTCAGATATCTGTTATATTAAATAAAAACTCTTATTTTTCTTAAATATTCCACGAAGTAAAGGTAATCATTTTTTTTTTAGATTAACAAATCCATTTGGCAGTAATCATTGGCTTTTATTTTCCGTCATCAAGTTCACACGGTCCACGTGTTTGTCCTGTCAATCAAATTTTATTCGACACAGTGGAGGCGTGGAAATTGTGTTTCACCGAACATTTCGAAGGCAGTCACTTAGTATTTCTAAGAAGTTTTAATATTTTTCCCTATCATTTCCAGATCTGCATGATTTTTTGCATTCCTGCAGAAAAAAAATAAATAATGGGAACATATACTTAGAAGGATTGAGTTTTAAATTGAGTTTGAAACATATTCCCTGCCAATTTAAAATACTACTGTCGGCACAAGTGTATTCTAAAATACTATTGTTTAATGACTGTTTTAAGACTGATTTTATTGTGGTACAATACACATTAAATACGTATTAGTTAAATACTGAAAATATTCACTAAGAATTTTATTTCGAGAGAAAAGGCACGGGGGGGGGGGGTCTTAATTATACTGAATGGCAAACATATATTTAGGTATGGTGAAGGAAGGAATTTTCCTTCTCTAATAATAGATATTTTAAACAGTTGGTCTTTTCTAAAATCTAAAATCACACTATCAATTTAATTAGCTCTAAAGATATTTAATTAAGTGAATATATGCAGTACTGTTCATAATTCTCAGGCCTACGTTTAGTTTAAAATACGTGTTACTGTAGAAATAATTTTTTTTGTGTATTCTTGTCTTGTAAAAGACTTGGATTAATTATTATACATTCATTAATGATTTGTCTGCTTTAACATTGCAACAAATTGTTGCCAAGCGTGAAGCATTTGTACAATGCCCTTTTTTAAATTTATATATTTTAGCATCGTTCTACATACATGTAGGTACTTAAATGTTTTATTTTCCAGGGAATAAAGTAATAGCTGAATTATAATAATAGAAATATAAATATCATAGATAATTTTTGCAATATAATAATTATTTTCAAACACGATATCTAATTTATTTAATTAATAAACGTGTAAATCCTTACCATCAAAAAGATAAGTTCTTTCACTTCGGAGTTCCGAATGACAATGAAGACTGAACGATAAGTGAACGGTGAACGCAAGGTGAACGCAAAGTAAATGGAACGAAGAGCGAATGGTGAACGCGAGCGCACGGGGAACGGTGAACGCATAACTGTGAACGAAGAGCGAACGGTGAACGCACGCTGAACGAACGGTGAACGAACGGTGAACGAACGCTGAACGAACGGTGAGCGAACGGAAAAATGGGAAAGTAGAACGTTTCAGGGACTGTACAAAAATGATTATCTTTGACTTCGATCTTGTGCATTAATGTAGTGCATATAAGGTTGAACGATATTCAACATAGGATTCTGTTCAACTTTACCTTATCCTGTTCAACATCACAGTGTGTGGCTATGGTAATAACTGGTGTGTCATCTTCACAGTACGTGTGAACAGATTTCAACCAGAAAATGATATACTCTGAAAATTACAAAACAAAATAGAGTAAACATTAATATTCATTAATATTAATATTATTATATATACATTATAAAAAGATGTGCTTGTAAAACACAAATCCCCATCCACTGGCAGAAATACAAGAGGCCCATGGGCCACATCGCTCACCTGAGTTACTTGGGTGATGCAGTTCTTTACCAGATTCCCCCTCTTGCTATACCTATCATGCCCCACTACCCCCTTCCCTTTTATGAATTTAAAACTTTAGAATCTACACTAACCCTGGATGCTTCCATATAAGTTTCAGCTTTCCTGGCCCAGTGGTTCTTCAGAAGAAGATTTTTAAAGATTTGTTTTATATATTTCTATGTAAAACTTCGATTCCCTATTGTGGCCCCGCCCTACCCCCCGGGGTCATGATTTGGACAATTTAATATCTAAACTACCCAAGGATGCTTCCACATAACTTTCAGCTTTCCTGGCCCAGTTGTTCTTAAGAAGAAGATTTTTAAAGATTTGTTCTTTCTATTTCTATGTAAAATTTGGATTCCCTATTGTGACCCTGCCCTACCCCTGGGGGTCATGATTTTAACAATTTAATATCTACACTACCCAAGGATGCTTCCACATAAGTTTCAGCTTTACTGGCCCAGTGGTTCTTGAAAAGATTTTTTAGTGTCCCCACCCTATTTTTGTCTTTTCTTGATTATCTCCCCTTGTAAGGGGACTTGGCCCTTCGTTTTACCAATTTAAACTCCCCTTCACCCAAGGATGCTTTGTACCAAGTTTGGTTAAAATTGGCCCATTGGTTCTTGAGAAAAAGTCGAAAATGTGAAAAGTTTACAGACAGACGGACAGCTAGACAGACGGACGGACAATGGACAAAATGTGATCAGAAAAAGGTGAGCTAAAAAAGTAGGTCAAACTTAAAAGTGGAGCTTAGATCGAAAATGTTCGTACCTTAGGAAAAATATCCTTGTCATAAAGAGTATTAAAGGACAAGGCATGGTAAAATTGTGATATTTTTTGTAGTTAAGAGCTTCAAATGATGCTTGTTTTGAAACCAGCACTAATTTTGATTCAAGGCTTTCACAGATGCCACAACAGGGTACAGAAGTAAGGCATTTCCCCAAATTTCTTTAATTCTGCTGGCTTTTTTTCAAAATTCATTTTTAACTTTATAGTTTTTACTTTGGAAAACATAGAGGACAAGCTTGCCTATCTGAGATTTTTACACGCAAGATACATCTGATAAAAGTTTATGAAATATATAAATTTAACAGATAGGCAACAGTCTGCTCTATGTTTTTTGAAATAAAATGTGCTGTAAAATAACTAAAATTGATAAAAATTTGCATAAAAATGAGAAAATTCAGTATACCCTCCCGCTGGGTTTTTCAGAGAAGGTGCCAATTCACAAATACTTTTATATGAATCTAGAGGTGTTCACAATTTTCTTACAAAAATTTGCAGTGAAAATACAATTGCTCATTATATTTCTTAATCAATGAAACAAAGGTGCAACCAAATAAAACATCAAATGAATACTAATACATTGTAATTCCATTGTAACAATTTTTTTTTAATTTCTGCATTAAAGAAATATATTGCAACTATTATGTGTCATGACACTCTGCAAACTGATTGTTGAAAAAAAAAACATATTATACAAAATAAAATTAATCTTGATAACTTTTCATCAAATTCATTTTGAAAATAAAGAGCTGGTATTCCAGTAATGAAGTGCTTTGACAGACAATAAATTACAATTAAGAGAATTAGAGAAGAGAGATCTTTAATTCTCCCAGGAGATATCACATGCTTGATAAAATATGCCTTAACAACTTCCCACACCAAACTCATTAATTTATCATTAACTGGTTGCATGTCCAGTCATTATTCTCAAGAGATAAATGAATTTACATTATCTTCAATGTAATGTAAAAACTGTTGTTTTTTTTTTTTTTTTAGTTTTAATGAGTAGTTTTAAGCTGTAGTTCACATTTTTGTGCAGATTTTCTAGATTTTATGTCTCTAACCTTATACATGAGTCCAAAATGAACAAGTCAATAAAATAAAACCTATAAAATGCCAAAAAATGAACAAATAAAGTTGAAAATTCCAGAGGCACACCTTCATATGGTGAATAATAGGTGTACCAATTTCCAGATAAATCCATGCAATAGTTTCTGAGAAATGGTCTGCACAAAACCACAAAATAAAAATGAAAAAACATCTGTAAAATTCAAAATAATCATCCAATCAAGATGAAAATATCAGGTGCACACCTTCATATGGTGAAGAATACGTGTACAAATTTTCAGACAGCTCCTTTCAATAGTTTCTAAATAATGGTCCAGACAAAATCTCGTCTATAGACAGACAGACGGACATGGTGATTCCAATATACCCCCCTAAACTTCGTTTGCGGGAGGTATAAAAAAAATTTAATGAAACACACACATACACAAAACATAGGTAATCAAAGATTACGAAGCTCAGCTCGACGAATATTATCAATGTTAGGTAATGCAAATCTCACATCATATTCTCTTAACAGTTAGTATTTATTCTCACAACAATATTCAAGCAAGTTCTGTTTAAATAGGTCTTAAAATTCATTGGGGATTGACCTGTTCCAAAAAATTTAACCTCATCACTCATTTGGAAAATGCGGGTCAGATGCAACATCCATTGTCCATCCTTAAATGCATCATCCATGCAAGTTTGGTCCAGGTAGGGCTTATAGTTACTTGGAAATAACCTAGTCACTAATCTGGTAAATGTAGGTTAGATCCAGCATCCGAAGCAAGTCTGGTAGTGTTATCCCTAGATGCATCATTTATGCAAGTTTGGTCCGGGTAGGGCTAATATTTACTTGGGAATGGACCTGCTCAAAAACCTTTATCAGGTCACTCATCTGGAAAATGTAGGTCACATCCAGCATCCGAAGCAAGTCTGGTAGTGTCCATCCCTAGATGCATCATCTATGCAAGTCTGGTTCACGTGGGGCTTATAGTTACTTGGAAATGGACCTGCTCCAAAAACTTTAACCTGGTCACTCATCTGGAAAATGTAGGTCACATCCAGCATCCGAAGCAAGTCTGGTAGAGTCCATTCCTAGATGCATCATCCATGCAAGTTTGGTCCTGGTAGAGCTTATAGTTACTTGGGAATGGACTTGCTCCTAAAACTTTAACCGGGACGCTGATGCCAACACCAACACCGACGCCAACACCGGAGGTATAGCATAAGCTCATCTCGACTTTGTCGAGGTGAGCTAAAAAGTTACAATTCTGAAAACTGACCTCCGTAAGTCCAGTCAGAAAACATAGTTCCTTCCTGATCACATAGGTTTCTGTCAAGTTGCTGGTCAAATGATTTGGACTTGTCTATAACAAGGATATAAAATGCTCGTTTACTTAAATATACCTGATGACAGGCATAATAGGCACATTGCCCGCCAAAGTCAACAATACTCAGTAACAGTTTTCCATCTGTATCTGTGGCGTCGTTAATATCTGAAATAAAAACACTGAATTGATTGAAAAAACATTGCAAATCTTTTAATGCAATACTTCAACAGGGTCTTAATTAAGCAGATTCACTATTTCTGTTTAATTTATGGGCAGAAAGTTACACACAATTTGGATTGGCTTGTCACTTTATATACTGCAAGTTAATCAAACCTTTTAGAGCATTGTTTTCGGAATCTATTTCAAATATATCTTCATGGACTTCTAGTCCCACTGTTGATTGGATTTCTTTTATTTCTTTAAAACTTTTCTTCTGTAATCTGTTGAGGAGAGTAGTTTTGCCAGCTCCTGCACAACCCACGAGCATTGCTCTAGCCCTGTGTATTGTACGGGTTCCTTTTAAAGCACAGTCTACATAACTAGAGCGTGCAGCTACATCCCACTCCAATACTTCTTCAGGTACCTTCACTGTAAAGAATTATACATG